ATTTGCAATCACTTGTGTCTTTATATAACTTTACATTACAATGCCTAAAATAATAATCCCTCTATGGGATAATCAAGTGTACATCATAAATGCCTCAAGACAATCTTTTAAAACACAAGTTTTAAAGGTAAATACAAAAAGGCTCCAAAAAAGATTCGTTCTAATCCAAACTCCCACAAGCATTCCATCACCTATGACCCAGGATGATAACACCTTCCATATACTTTAGAGAGTTATTATCCTATAACGCTCACACATAGTCTAATCCTTCCTACCTTTTCATGTCATTACTAATTTTCTTACTCCATAATTCTTTCCCTTCAAAAGCTTACCATGTCATTCTCAAACAATCTTCAATCAAAATCATCTAATATAACTCATCAATTATTGCACCATGATCCTCCAATCATACTCTTTCTTAATTATTCTTATAACCCAATTGTACAAAAATTAAGTCATCCCTTAAAATTTAATTCTACCCAATGTAATACTAATTAACTATCCATATTACTTCCAAACTACTATCGATAATCAAATGTATAGTCATAAAACAACCTGCAAATCCACTCAAAATCAAAATCACAATTCTTACTCGTATTTCAAAACCGATATCAATTCTTAGTTATTTTTATCATACATCTCCAATTGATTGTATTTTAGCATTGTACTATTTTATAGTCTCTTAGTCATCTTCATGGAAGATTTATCCGTCCCAAAGTTTTTACCATCAAACCAAAATTTTCAATCTTTCTTCAATTCTTAATCTCTCAATCAATTTCAATAACTTCACCTAACAAAAATTATATAAAGGATGTCATAGTTGACCTTATCTCCAAGGAACAAAATTGAATTACCACACATCCTTGACCTAACAAAGTAAAGCAACTAAGGGTCAGGCAAAATAATGAAAATTGACATAACCTAAAAAAGTTAGAACATTGTAAATCATCATACCTCGAAGCCTTTTTACTTTTATACCTTCTCAACCAAAATACACTAATACTCTCTATAACCTCCAAAACTCATGATGCACGACAAGGGATAATTGTCTTTAGGGCAGGCCTTGTTAAGTTCGATGAAGTCCACACAAAGGTGCCATTTCCTGCTGGCCTTTGTTACCATTATGAAATTTGATAGCCAAACTGGGTAGGCTACTTCCCTCATTAACCCATTTGCTAGTAGTTTCCCCACCTCCTTTTCCATGGCCTAGGCTCTTTCGATACCAATGTTTATCAACTTTTGGTGGATGGGCTTGTGTCTGGGATCCACGTTAAGCTAGCAGGTGGCAACCTCGGGTCGATGCCCTTCAGATCTTCGTGGGACCAGGAAAAAATGTTCATGTTCCACTTAAAGAAATCAACGAGGTGGGTGGCTCCATCTCGAGGAAGCGAGGAGCCAATATAGATTCTTCTTTCTAGAAATTTCTCGTTCATCTCTGCTAATTCAAGTTCTTCTGCTGGCTCTCCCATTTTCAGTGTGCTGTCATCCCTAGGTTCATGCATTTCCACTTGTAGGGTCTCTTGAGATTTTTTGGCTCTTATAGTCGACACATAGAATTCTTTAGCAGCAACATGGTCACCCTTGATTTCTCCAATCCCACATGGAGTTGGAAAATGGAGAATGAGGTGATAGATGGATGGAACTATCCTCAAGGTGTTGAGTGCAGGGGAGTCCAAGAATGATATTATAGGTAGAAGGGCAATCCAACACTATGAAGTTCATCATGATCCACAGCTTCTCGGTGTTGTCTCTACTGTGACTGGTAGGGTGATGGAACCCAAGGGATATACCTTCTCCCCCAAAAATTCAATGAGGGGCGTCCTAATGGGCTACAATCTCTCCCTGCCAAGATGAAGGCTATCATAGGCTGCTGGAAACAGGAAATCAGTAGAGCTTTCGTTGTCTGCCAGGATTCTCTCAAAGTAGTCATAAGAGTCATGGTCATGATCGCGGTGAAATCGAAAATACTTGTTTGGGTTCCTACAATTCAGGGCAGTCTTCATTTTCTCCAACCAACATATCATAGGATCATCCTGGATTTGGAGCAAGATATGCTCAACTAAAGCATTGAGCAGTGTGACAATCTGCCACTCTCTCAAAGGTGCATAATTGAGGCAGTCTTTGACGGACACTATCTCCATCCTCTTTTTCTTATTTTCTGCTTTTTTCCTGTCTTCGTAGGTGTTCTTTATCTTCTCTCCCCTTCAGGATGACTCACCTCGCCTATCCATGGTGACATCCTCAACATTCATATATTTCTGAGCCCTAAATAATAGCTCGAGCATGCTTGTTGTTGATTTTTTCAAAACTAAAAACATAAAGCTTGATGAGCACAGACCTGGGATAAAGGTGGCCATGGTGACCTTATCATCTGGCTTTTATATCTGGAGGGCCTCCTCATTAAATAAAGTGAGGTAGCTCCTTATCCTACTTAATGGTGAGTAGGTGGATGACTGGTTTTTTATGTTGACATCCCCCTATAAAGTGGGACACGAAAGATTTGCTTAGTTCAACAAAAGAATTGATAGAAAATGGTTTAAGGTTGGCAAACCACAGACATGAAAATCCCTTAAGGGTGGTGGGGAAGGCTCTATTCATTATCTCGTCTGGTATGTTATAGAGTTGCATAAGGGATTTCTACATGTCGAGGTGGTCGAGTGGATCTTTTGAACCATTAAAAGTTTCCACTGTGGGCATCTTGAACTTCGAGGGTAAGGGATAGTTGACGACATCGGCCACGAACGGAGTGTTAGTGAGCCTTATCAGATAGTCCACTATTTCCGACGCCCATGTCTTGATGGCGTTGAAGACGTTGCCTAACTGGTTTTGTACCTCCTTGATTTTCTCATCCCATTAGTTGGGGATGCCATCTGTCGGATCGTTGTAATAAATTTTGTGGTCCGCATACTAGTTTTTCCTCTTATCCTCCTGCACAAGAGGATCGCCAATGTGTGATGACGAAGCCAATGCATAAGGAAGGGGAGTTGGGGTGCCCAAGTAAGGGACTCCCTAGTGCTACAAGGGGCACCTTGGCGTTGGGCATCACGCTGGTAAACAGAAGACTCACTTTCAACTGAACAATGGTATTCACCCAAGTATAAGTGGTCAAATTGTAATATAATACTCAGTTTAAGTCCGAGGTCGAACCCACAATGAAATGGATATTGGAAATCAAAATGGAAATGGTGAAACTGTTAGGAATACAAAATGAAATAAAGGAGCTTATGGTGCGAGCTTAGAACAACTAAATAAACATAATAAAAACTACAATAATAGATGCAATAATTTAAAAGATACCCTTCAGATTGAGGATTCCATGTACATTATATTGGCTAAATACTGAAAATGCCACCTTACAGCAATTAACCCCTGGGTCACCAAAAAGTCAATTGGTAGGGATGATATATATTAAATCCTATCTAGCAACTAATTAGGTTAACTAGCAAGTGTCTCCATGCAGCAGTCAAATAACCCAAGTAATCCAGAAGGCAAGCCATTTAGGAGGAATACTTGAATTATTCAATAGGCATTTATGTACCATGCAACAATTAAACGACTATAGTAAACCAGAAGGCAAGCCATTTAGAAGGAATACTATAGTTATTTAACCGGCAGGTTGATGATTCACTGATGAAGACATTCCAGTTCACGCATTGAATCAAAAGCATTGGCTAAGTTGAAACTTAACCCGTCTATAACCAATCAATTGACTGTTACGTAAAACTCAATCATGTACATCATTGTATCGTGCCTGAAGTACATAACTAGTAGATAGTATGGTATATAGCATTAGGTACCGCTCGGTGTTCATAACTAGAAGCATATTATAAATATAATCATCCATCAATATGGGAGGTATATCTATAATATAAAATATGACAGCTTCAACATCCAATGGTCTCAAATTAATTTATTTAACGGCCACCAACTTCTCTCTAAAAAAAATTCAAATTAAATTTAACTTTTTTAAATGGTTCGTATTTCATCTAATCTCATCTGATGGTTAAAAATTCATCACAGACAAAAAAAAAAAAATTCCCGCCCAAAACGCCTTCTACACACTACCTAACACTTACATAGTTACCCAAACACCTTCTACACACTCCCTTCTCTCTCTCTTTCTTTTCCAAAAGACCCATCTTAGAGCCCCTCTTTCTATCTCTCTCCTTCTCGCTACTCTGTCGTGGCTCAACCCACCGCTGATCAACCTACGGCCGACGAACCCATCGCCAATCAAGCAGTAGAACACACACACAGGCAGTAGACAACACCCGATGAAGTCCAGGTACCTCTCTCTCTCTCCAGTCAAACACACACAAACACAAACACACGGCAGTATAGACACTTAAATACATTCTTCTACACAACTATAGCCACAAAAGGATGGGGCTTTCTATTATTTTGGTGTCACTGAGTTACTATGAAATATGAATATCTTAATTTCTAAATGTGTATAATTTTGGCTTCTTGACTTTTTGGTATAAGTTAATGGACAAAATTGTTGTTTCAAGTTTATTGTGTGTTATGCTGTTTTACATTTTTATGATTTGTGAAAGAGGTGATATCAGTTGACTTCAAAGAGCTGTGTCTACACCTGCGAGGTGATTTTACTTGAGATGGTGACTAGCCGAAGATACATGGGCATATATTCAATAATTTTATGTGATGCTTGGTTTATGTGATGATTGGTTGCTTCTAATAACTATGGGTTTGGAGTTGTATCGTAGCATTAATTTTTCTATTTTTATTGGAAAAAAGAGGTTTAGGGCATTTAGATTTAGTTTTTTTTTTCTTTTTTTTTTGCCATTTTATGTTGGGGTTTTCATGTTTCATACTGGTAATTATTTGTTTGTAATTGGGTGAGTGTACGAAGTGATTTTAGATTTAGCATTGGTTTGTAAGATTGTACTCTACATCATTTCACCAGTAATAGTTATTTCTTATTTGCTTTATTGATATCTTTCTTCATTTGTAATGGTAACCACTGTCTTTGGGGAGCTATGGAGGTTGTGCCATCGGCACAACAGATGAGGGCAATGTGGTGCAGAGAGATGGAGTGGCTCTTATACGTGAGTGATTCCATGGTAGAGCTTATGCCTTCCATACAGCAATTCCCCCGTGGAGGCACATATGAAGTAATGGCAACAAGGTCGTGGTTAGATTTGCATATAAATCTCCCTGTACTAAAAAAGCTTGATGCTATGTTAATTAGTCCTCATAATGAAATGAGGTATAATTGTCCCTGATGTGGAAAATTGTGATTAGTATCCATTAGGTATGTCAAGTGGAAGGCCTTCAATTAGGCAGGAAGAGAAGTGGTGGCTCCCGAACCCAAAAGTTCCTCCAAAAGGGTTGTCAGTGGATGCAAGGAAGAGGTTGCAGCAACGCAGGGACTGTACCAACTAGATACTGAAGGCAACCTTGGTAATCAATAGCAATGTGCTTGTTGAGATGGAGATTCCCAATGCTTACTTAGAAACTTTGCCAAAGGTTTGGGTTTCAATGTTGGGTCTAAAAATGCTATGAGATATAAACAAGCTAAGATCTAAATTTCTTGAAACATATCCATAGATACTACAAGTGGTTTGGTTTTTTTGGATCTGATTGATGTCATTAGGTTGACAATGTGTTTTTAATGGTCTTCACTTTTCTTATCATTTATTACTGTAGAAAAGTTTTGTTAAATTTAAGCCTTGTGGAATGTTGGCGGCTTGCTTGTGATGATTTTCTAGAGTTATGACTGCTTGTACTAATGGCATTTGAGTTCAACATGTGCTTCCACCACTCTCATATGACATATCCTATTTTCCCTTTTGCCATACGATTCATAGATTTTGGTGTCTAATAGACCACAAAAAAGCATTTTCTAATTTGTGAGTTGAGCTTGGATATGAAAATGTCAACTACACTTTTAATTGATGGCATTTTACAACACATTCTTGCAAACCAAATGGCACTTCCATTGCTGTTGTAATGTGTATTGTCTTATAGAGTCAAAAAGCAATGTATTTTGGTTTGGATTATGCAATTTGGAGGTGCATTTTGTCTTATGGAAGTCAAAAGGTACAGTAATTGTTTTTTATTTTTGAGGGAACAACCATTTCATGCTTTTAGTTTTGGATTGCTAACAGAAAAAACTTTATACCTTTTCATGTGCTATCATTAACCCAATATGACATATTTATATCGTTTAAGTTAGGAAGACACCAGTGTGGGATATTTGTAAAACCCGTGTAAATTTGAACTTTTTCTGAGAAAGGAAAAAATGGTAATTTATCACTATAATGCGGAGTTAAAATACGTATTTCTATAGAGATCGGATGATGCAACGGACTTCACCGTTGGATTCATCTCACGAAATTGAGTTGCCTAGTCAATTTTTGTCAAATTTTGAGATAGTCAAATTTTTCACTTTTTATGAGACAACTAGGTGTCGGGGGTGACCACACAAATATTCCCAAAAATAAAAATTATAAAATTTTCTTAAAATTGAAATAAAGTTCAAATAAAAAAAATTTGTACTTAAATCGGGATAAAATTAAGTCGTTTCGGGACAAAAACGGACCCGGAAGTAGGAAATGTGCGGTGCAATGTGGACCATGCAATTAAAGGCCATAAATAGGGGAAAATATCTGATATTTTTCCCACTTGATCATCTGGTCTCACACGTTAGAAGAGAAGAGAAGGGGGAGAAGAGGAAAATCAAGATTTCTACCTTTCTCCTTGCGATCTACAGAGCTCCGTCGGTCAGAATTCATCGACCCAAGAGTTAAAGTTCGTCTACGCAATGAGGGCTACGTCTATGTACCAAAAATGAAGGATTTCACCAAAGATTTAAAGAGGAGATTTGAAAAAATCAAGGGTTTTGGACTTAGGAAGTGTTCTTGAGGCCTTTTACCTTTCATTTACGCTCCAAGAGATAGGGTTTTCTCCTACCTTGGTTTATTTCTTACCTAGAAAGCTTTATGAAAAGGGTAAGTGTATAGAATAACCTCGGTCACTTGATTATGTTTATGGAAATGAGAAAATGGTTATGGAAATGGCTTAGGCCAAATTCCTAGTTGAGTTGGTATAGGGAAAGTACTTGTGTAATTTCCTTGGAATATGATATTATGTTGGCAAATTTGTGTGATAACATGAAATGTTGCCTTGAAGGTATTTTGCTAAATGCCTTTGTGAGAATTGAGTTTGTTATGGCATGAGTTATGTATAACATGCTTGTGGTTTGTGTTAGATATAAATGTTAGTGTGTGCTAGTTGGTATATTAACATTGTGATGGATTATGGTAGTTATATGCAATCAATATAAATTGTCATGACATATATTGAAATATGTGGTTAAATTAGCTCATATGGCATTCTTTACATATAGAGCATGACATTGATATTACAATGGTGCATTACATTGCATTTGCACAAGGAAAACACATCCAAGGACATGAGTATGGGTGTGTGTGTGTGCATGGTTAGATCAAACACCATAATTGGTGGATGACAAGTGGGCTCAGTACCGTTGGACCAACGTTCAACAGATTCACACAATTGCATGAAAAAGGAAAACTTGTGTCGGGTATAGTAAGAAATGATAGATTCTCCCTTAGGTGCAAGATGTGGTTACTTGGTTCATACACCCCCTTTGTGGTGCAATTCCAGAAAAGTATAATGGCGTACGGAGCCAGCAATGTGATTCCAAAATTCGGTACCCAACAAAGACACATGATTTTGTTTTATAAATGGTCATTCAATATGTATCATCCAACAAAATTTGATTTTTTATAAACACACGACCTTTATTTCAAAATGATCATTGGATGAAATTCATCAATGATAGATTTGCTACACCTTAGCATTGCATTGTGTTGCGGGAGTTGGTGATGACTTGGGTCAAAGTTCATAAGTGAGTGTCATCTCATATCATGACATGACATAATGGAATTCCAACACTAAATGGCATATTCTTGTTTGGAATGGAAATTGATGTTTGATTGTTACATGTGCACGTTTCATATGTATCTAGGGAAGGAGTAGCCTCTCTAGGAGACACTCTATTGAGCGTAGCTCACCCTATACGAGAAAATATTTTAGATGCGAGGTTCACACCGGCGGATGATGCTCGTTTCGAGCCTCAAAGATGAAGAGAGCCGACTTGTGGCTTTTGATAGCTCATTTTGTATAATTTTTGTGAAAATTATATTTTGGCATGTAATCGTATGGAATTATCTATAATAGAACTTGTATATAATGGGTTTCATGTAAAAAACCTTATTAAACATGTTTTGGAAGTTGGTGGGATGGTTTAGTGTGGATTGGAAATCAAAAACAAGTGAAACAGGCAAAGCTAGGCAAAGAGTACTGGTACTGAGTACCGATACGACAAGGTCCAGTGGGTTACCCGTACCAGTACACATTTTCTAGTGAGTTAACCGTACCAATACAATCTTGTCCAGAAGGCAGAGCATACCGGTATGCCAGACCGGTACAAATTTTTCAGAAGGTTCACAGTACCAGTACACTTTCCAAAATTTTGAAATTTTAAAATTACTTTGCCAAGCTTTTGGGCTATGTGTTCTTAGGTTCCAATGATGTAAATGGACTATAATGGAGTATGAAATAATACATTGAACCACTATTGGATCAAATGATAAAATGTATACGGGGTTTTACATGTGGTTTATAATTCCGGTTAAGGGGATGTCATAGACATGACGTCGAGTTTGCAACAAACACGGGTATTTTCACGGATTGACGGATGGTCAACTGTTAACAAATGACCCCTGGTTTTAGGGTCGTCACCGTCTGGTATCAGAGCATAGATATACGACTTACCTAGGACTTGATGGGTAAGGGTCTAGGTCATTGCATTCAATGTGCATTTCATGTTATGTGCTTAAATTGCTACATGTTATGTGCTATGTGTTATATGGATTATATGCATGGTGAAATGTATATGGAAAGGAGAAACACTAAGGTTAAAAAACATCACCTTAGGGTTCAAAAAAAAAAGGATGAACGGGATAGTTCAAGGTGTAGATGTCTACTAGTAGGTGGCTCGCGCACTACTAGGGAGACAAGGAGAGAAATTGCAAAATTTAAACTTGATCCCTATCTTGGGATAGTATGTGAGGCTCTATTGTTATCTTACATGTGTGTAGATGGAAAATATGGGAAGAGGATGTCGGTGGATCAGTTAATCATTCAGGGTACATTTTTATTCTCTCGCTTATGGGCAATAGTATTATTTGACTATATTGCATCTTATTCTTTTATTGCTACATCATGTGTGAAAGAATTGGGCTTAGAGGTTGAGATCTTGGAAGAGCCTCTGCATGTGAGTTTTCTCCAAGGAACTAGGGTGAGTGTTGATCAGATATGTCCGGATTGTGAGTTAGATATCTCAGGAATTCTACTCACCGTAGACCTTAGAATCATGGCCATATATTGGAGTACGATGTTATCCTCGGGATGGATTGGTTGGCGGCACACAAGTCATCATTGATTGTGATCGAAAGAGGGTTATTGCCTACACCCCGGAGGATATTTGTTTCAAGTTCCAGGGGGGAAAACATGACGCTTTACCCCAAGTAGTGTATGACTCTTGTTGGCATGGGTAGTTGATGGGATGGCTTACGACCCTTACCCTGGAGGACGAGATGAGACAAGAGTTGGGTCTATCTCGGGTTGTGTGTGAGTATGAGGATATTTTTTTGGATGAACTATCGGGATTACCTCCCCATAGGGATGTAGACTTCAACATTGTGTTGTATTCCGGTACATCACCTGTTTCTATGACTCCACATAGGATGGCGCCAACTGAGTTGCAAGAACTCAAGATCCAATTACAAGAATTATTGGACAAGGGCTTTATTAGACCGATCACTTCACCGTGTGGCGCTTCGGTATTGTTTGTCAAGAAGAAAGATAAGACCCTTCGATTTGTGTATAGACTATCGAAATTTGAATAGAGTTACTATCAAGAATAAGTACCCTTCGTCAAGGATTAATGATTTGTTTGATCAGCTGATAAGGGCGCGGGTCTACTCCAAGATAGATCTCCGTATCAGTTATCATCAGTTGAGAGTTAGGGAGACAGATATCCCTAAGACGGTGTTCAAAACACGGTATGTGCATTTTGAGTTCACAGTGATGCTATTCGGAGTAACGAATGCTCCGGCTGCATTCATGGATCTCATGTATCGGGTGTTCCAACTCTATCTAGATCAGTTCGTCGTGGTCTTTGTTGACGACATCTTGATCTACTCCAAGTCAAATGAGAAGCATGAGGGTCACTTAAAGGTTGTTCTCCAGCTCTTAAGAGACCACCAGTTGTACGTCAAGTTCAATAAATGTGAATTTTGGCTTACGAAGGTAAGGTTTTTATGACACGTGGTGTCGACTTCAGATGTATC